CAGAGCTGATGGAACTTATACGACTGATCGAAAATGAAAGTCAAATATTTGGTCTGCAATTAAACATATCAAAGACAAAGATCATGATAGTGGATAGACTACACAACAATCATCCACACATAACTACAATTGACCGGTTCGAGGTTGTGAGCTCACACTTATATCTGGGATCATTAATTACAAACACAGGGTCATTACAAGAAGAGATTAAACGTAGATGTGATCTAGCAAAAGCTGCCACAGCAAAAATGACCAAAATATGGAAGGACTGTCAAATTTCAAGAGCGATAAAGATGAGGTTGATCAACTGCTTAATATACCCAATACTGACCTACGGATGTGAATCTTGGACTCTGAGGCAATCGGAGAGAAAAAAGATAGACGCCACTGAAATGTTCTGTTGGAGGCGAATGTTACGAATTCCTTGGACCAACCGTAGAACAAATAATTCAATTTTAAGAGTCTACTAGAGAGTCGTTGGCTAAAAGTTAGCCAACGACTCTCTAGTAAAGTCCATCTCTAACAATTAAAATATTTTGGGCATGTTATGAGAGCAAACACAGAAAACATGGAAAGACTCATAATACAAGGAAAGGTAGAAGGCCGAAGATCACGAGGAAGATCCCCAACAAAATGGATAGATCAAATTACAGGAATATGCCAAAGACCTATGCATGAATTAAAAGAAATGACCAGAGACAGAGATCTCTGGAGACGAACAATACACGACATCACGTCGACCACTACACTCCCCCTGGGGGGTCAGGATTGAAGAGAGAGAGAGAGTTACCATCACTTTCGAATGAATAGCTAGTAGACCAATGTTTAATATTATGATTTATATTCTTTTATATTTAAAAATATTATTGTGGGTAAAATTTCTGGGTGGAATGGAAATTCAAGCACACAATATTCGAGACATATTATTAAAAACATATGCTGATACATCAGTAGCTGTGCCATTCACTCCATAGTTATTGCGATAAATATAACTTTCAATTCCGGTAGCACACACTTTGATAAATAGTATTTATAGTGTGATTTAATTTTTTACATTGTTATTCGAAAGGTTATCTAGATACCGTATTTGAAGAGTTTAAATGTAGCGGTAATGTAATTGCTCTTTAAATTGTGTGTATTACCAATAACGCCGAATAGAAAAGATAAAAACGGAAGCGGATATATGGTCAGTGCTTCAATTAATTCGAGAAGAATCAGGTCCCAAGTCACACACGTATCAAATTCCTAGAGGTATGTGGTGTAGGTATGTATCAGGAACAGGAAATTCCCAAAAAGTGTAGTATACACGGTAATTGAAACTACTATGTACTAAAACAATTTAAATGAAGTGAGGAAAACAATTGTTGATGTGCAATTAAAAGTTTTTAATACACTCGTTCGAGTATGTTCTCTGTATCATGAGACACTAGAACACAAAAAAAATATTGTTTGTGGTAATTCAGATAATTGTATGACTCATAAAATCATTAAAAATAGTTATGCAATGATGTTAGAACATATTTAATATTTTTAAGTTAATATTCTTTTTAAAACTCATTATTTGATTAATGTTTACATTGTTCATTTTATTTTAAATTAAAATAATCTTTTTAGTTTGCTGTAAGACAGTTCTAAGAAGGTATAATTATACAGGGTGACTGGACACAAATGAAACAGAGGCATTGTCAGAAACATTTTTGAAAAATTCAGCGACACATCGATTTTTGATTAATTTTTCGGGCACCTTTGGTTATTTTACTTTGACCCCTAAGCCAGAGTAAGAATCACGTCGACATTTTTAATGGTAATGGGGATCAACTAAGATATCGTTTTAAAGCACTTAGAATTCCCTATACATAAGTCTTCCTTCTTCTTCTAGTGTATAATCAGCTGCAACAACTCGTACTTATCATTTCTAAGTATGTGCCCCAAATATGCCGCCTTTCGTCTTCTAATAGTGGTCAAAAGTTATCTGTCTTCCTATTCTGTGCAACACCATTTTGTTCGTAACATGATCGGTTTATGGTATCTTTAAAATTCTCCTAAAAAGCCACATCTCAAATGCTTCCAGTTTTCTCCATTAAGTCAACATTAACAGTCCAGGTTTTGACACCATAAAGAAGAATAGAGTGGATATAACATTTTACCAATCGATGTCTAATTTCCAGATTGAGTCTTTGGTTACTCAGAAATTTCCTCATATTCAAAAAGGCTGCTCTTTATTGCTCTATTTTTAAGCAAATTTCTGATCACTTGCTTAATATCTTCATTTTTTATCTGGATCCTTGTGATGACATTAACCTTCTTACTGATAACCATGGTTTTTGTTTTCTTTATGTTTATTATTAAACCAAACTGTTTTCCACTATCACAAATTGTGTTTAGTAACGTCTGCAGGTCTGTCTCACTTTCAGCGATAATGACTGTATTGTCAGTATAACGGATGCTATTTACATTTTCATCATTTATCTTGATCCCTTCTTTATAGTTTTCAAGTGCTTGCGTAAATAACTCTTCAGAATATATATTAAATAGTAATGGAGAAAGTAGACAGTCCTTTTTCACTCCTCTACTTATCTGTTGCGCATCCGAACTTTTTCCATCTAATGTTACCAGAGCCTATTGGTTCCAATAGAGATTTCTCACTATGTTAATGTCATTTTTGTCGAGTCCTTTTTTATTTATACATTCCATGAGAATATTATGTTATACTTTGTCGAAAGCTTTCTCATAGTCTATAAACGCAACGAAATGATCTTTTTGTTCTCGATATTTTTGGGCAATAGTTGTGAAACTATACAGAGCTTCTACTGTTCCGAAGCCGTTACGAAAATTCGTACTTTCTGCATATTCTTGCATGTATAATATAAAATGTTTTTAATAAATGTGACATTAAGCTGATTAATCTATAGTCATTAAAGTGTTTGGGATTCTTGGTTTTTGGTAGCGGAATAAAGGTCGATAGCAGCCATTCTGTAGGTTATTGCACTTAAATTGTCTTCATCTATAAGTCAATCTGGCTCTGCCAGATTTTGAGTTGTTTATAGCACGTTGGACTTCAGATTTTAATATTACTGGAGCTTCCTCGTTATCAATTTGTGTCGGTTCCGTTCTTATGTCCATGAAAAGATCTTTAATATATTTAGTTCAGAGTTATTTATTTCAATTAGGTCATTAATATGTTTACTGTTTTTGTCAATTAATCGATTGGGTGTATTTGTTCGTGATTTTCTAAATAATTCTTTACCTTTTTTATGTAAATTATAATGATCATGCTTTTTCTGCAATTCTTTCACTTCGATGAATGTTTCCATCATCCACTTTTCCTTAGCCTTTTTTTATTCTGTTCCTTATTAATTTGTTTTTCTCTGTACTTATTTGGGTTTTTGTTTCTATATTTTCTTCTTTGTTTCATGATTTCCAGTTAATTTCTTAATTTCTCGATTGATACAAGTTGAAGCTTCAGCACGGATTTCGTTTATCTTGAGTAACTGAGTATTCATCTTAGAACTTTTGGATTTTATTACCTTTTCACCCTCAGTTTCATTTTTGAGACAAGGAGGTTATAAGGAGGAGACAAGTCTTTAATTTTTAAAATTCGGTAAATACTTTAATTTAATTAATTTAAAAAAATACGTTTTAAATCAATGTTATTAGCTGGTTACTTATTTCTTAGTTGACCAAATTTTAGGACTGATGACCTTCTACGTCCATACGCTGATAAAGGTTTTGTTACAACGGTTTTTTAAAATTTTTTTAAAATACAAATTTTTTAAATATGCAGATGGTGTTCTATAAATTTTACTTTTCAAGTGTGCCTACAAAAGAAAATCTACAGGAGACAAATCTGGTAAGTGAGGAGGCCATTCGTTGGTGTCTCTTCTCCCAATTCAATACCTTGAAAAATCTTGACAAAAAAGTAAAGCCTAAAGCGGAGGAGCACCGTTCTGTTGGGAGGACACATGATCTTCCTCATATTGAGAAATAATTCAATTCAGGATAATTCAGGATTATTCACATCTTCCAGTAAATACATTTTGATTTGCAAATTGCTAGGTAAATAAATGGTCCCACTAGTTAATCACCGAAAATACTGGTCCATATATTTAATATTTCCGGTTGCTGTGTATGCATTTTGCGGAAAATCCTGTTGTGTCAATCAGACCAATAAAGACAATTCTCACGATTTAGACCTCCGTTTATGAAAAAGTGCATTAATCGGAGAAACATATATTAAATCGAAACGGGGGATCAGTCTCTGGTCGCTCACACATGATTTCATTTCTTCTTCTTCTTCTTTTTATGTAGACATGACTCTAACTGTTTTTCAATGTGCCTCCAGTAAGTTGTCGTTCCATATTTTTCGTGGTCTTCTTACTGATAGTCTTCCCATTGAAGAACCGTCTCTTGCTGTCTTTACTACTCATTTGTTGTCATTCGGCTTATATAATCGTTCCATTCTACTTTTCTATTTCTTACCCAGTTCTTGACGTTCTTCATCTTGCATCTACGTCTTATATCTGTACTTTTAGCTCTGTCTCATAGTGTCTTACCTTTAATTTTTCTAAGTCTTTTTATCTTTGTTGTTTCTAACATCCTTTTTGTCGTGTCTGAGTCAGGTGGTGTTTCTGCCGTATGTCGTTATTAGTCTGATGTCTGTTTCAATAAATTCTGCTTTCATTTCTTTCCGTATATTTTTATTTCTCCACATTGTTTTATTCAGGCAACCTGCGGCTCTGTTTGCTTTATTCACTTGATCTATCACTTCAGGGCCCGTATTTTTGAAACCGTCCGAACGGAAGTCGTATGCGAAAGATGATGAATTTCGAACGGAAATCGATGATTCGTATTTTCGAGTTGATTTCGAACGCATCGTATACGACGATTTTCGTACACGACTGCTCGACTGGGTATTCACCATTCGAATAGCGGTCAACACACGGAGTTTGACATTTCTGACTTTTGCATTTAGTTTGTTTTTAATTGTTTACATAAGTGAGATGGCCGGCCTAAATTTTTTAATTGAAAGAAATGTTTTAAATGCCTTAGAAGATGCAGAAATGTTAGCGAATGTGGAGAATGGATTATACCAAGCATTTTTAAACCCTCTTGAAGCCTTATCAGACAAACAATTTGTAAAATTATACCGTTTAACAAAGTCTCTGACAGAGGAACTAATAGAACTTTTGGAGCCCCACTTGGTACCTCCATCTAGGGCATCTGCATTGAGCATACCGAGAAAGGTAAGTATAACAAATATTTTTAATTCGACATAGGTATACTGTGAAAATGTTCCCCAAAGCACCCTCCACTTTGTTCATTAAGAATAAGCATCCGGGCCAAGTATTTTACATAGAGAGTAATAAAATTGTTTACCTACAATAATTTTTTGCAGGTTTTCTAATCTATTTTCTTTCATAAAATCTATCAGTTCTTTTTTTTTGTTCGGAAGATACAAATCCTCCAAACATGGAATTTTAATTTTCTTTGTCCATATTGGAAACAGAGAAAACAGATAAGTACGAAAACACAAGCCAAAACACGTTAAAACTGTGTAGAAAATTGAGCAAATCACAAAAAACTAAAAAACTTCAAGTCTGCTGCAACAAGTAAAATAAACTTGTCAGTCAAATAAATGTCGCCTGTCGCCTCTACCTCTTCTTTTCTTAATTTCGTGCGAATTTGCGGCGTTGCTGGTGAATTTGGGTTAACGGATTCTCGTATGCGAATTAAACTTTCGAATTACGTTCGAAAATACGCTTTTACGTTCGTGTACGATTTTTTTTTTCGTTCGAACTGATCGCATGCGAATAAATTCGAACACATTCAAAAATACGACCCCTGGGGTCATATTTTTGAGTTGAGTTTCGAGCTTTTCGTAGCTAGATAATGTGATGCTTAGATCGAATTATTGCACAAAACTGCAATAAGAAAAAATCGCATCCTCTAATGGTTATTAGCGATGAAACAATAAATAAGTTACAATTTTGTGGTACAATATAAGTATGGGGTTGAATTATATTATCAAAATGTTATATCTACAAAAACATCTTAAATTTTATTGAATAAACCAATTATTTTTAAAAAAGGAATTACACTTTTTGGTTCCGTATTATTGTCAAGCAAAACTGAGATATTTGACACCGTATTAAAATCAATACGTTCTTGTATAAATTTTTTGCATTTAATGAGAATATGTCTGAGAGTTAATTGTTTTTTACAAGACCCATAAATAGGGTGAGTAAGCCTGGTATGGCCTAGTGGTAAGCGGTTGAATGCTGTAGTTTTGTATGTAGTAAGTAGTTTGTAAGTATGTAGTTTTGAATTTAAAATTTGCCATTCATGGAGCCTGCAATTTAACACATATTACCATATGTTTAACAACACTGTCAAGTCATTAGGAGCACATTTTAATACAGTTTCTGAATCCAGACTAGTCACCACACTACGCGTACTTGAGTCTGCATTTTCATTTTCGCTAATGCCCACTTGGAAAGGAATTCAAATATGGTTGACCATTCTACCATTTTGTTAAGAAAGTCAAGCTCCACCTTATCATGTTTTCAATTGGATGATTGAACTGATTCATTTATCTTCGAAGCGTCTGTAAATATGACAGAAGTTTTTGGTAGGATTCCAATATATTTGACAAATGTGCTTTAATGCGCGAAGAAGGTGTTTCTGCTTTATTACAACAGCCTTAGGCTAATATTCTTCTTCTTAATGTGCTTTCTCCATTGCTCCAAATTGCTCTCTATCTTGAGCTGTTCTTAGTATCGAATGTGTGTCCCTGTCTGTCCAGTCTCTTACATTCTTCAACCAGGAGCATTTTTTTTCCTGGACCTCTTCCTTCCACTTTCCTTTTCATTCTAAGTCGTAGGAAGTTGTATTTTTCTTCTCTGTAAATATGTTCTAGATAACTCGTTTTTCTGTTTTTTACAATATTTAGGAGTTATCCCTTAGTGCCCATTTTTCTTAGCACCTCGTTGTTGGTCACGTGCTCTGTCCAAGAGATCTTCAGCATCCTTAGAAACACCTACATCTCAAAGACTTCTATACGCCTCTTACTTGTAACTCCGAGAGTCCATGTTTCCAATGTTTTTCATTCGTTGAAATGCGAACCTAGCACATTCTATACGAGCACGTATTTCGACCTCGTGGTCAAGATCGTTTGTTATCCAGCAACGAATATACTGGAATCTGTGTAATGGTTTTATGTGTTTGTTATAGATACGAATATTAAAGTCGACATTTGGTGCACGTGTAACAGCCTTACTTTTGTTTTATTTGTGTTTATATTTAGTCCCAAGCTATCTCCCTCTCTGGTTATGACATTCAAAAGTCGTTGTAAATTCTCAGCACTGTCCCCAATAATGACGGTGTCGTCTGCGTATCTTAAGTTGTTTACGTATTCTCCGTTGATTTTTATTCCTTCATCAATATTTTCGAGGGCATTTTAAAAGATCTTTTTATAATATATATATATATATATATATATATATATATATATATATATATATATATATATATATATATATATATATATATATATATATATATATATTAAATAACAGTGGAAAAGATACACAGCCCTGACGAACTCATCTTTTTATTGGCAAATCTGCTGTCAGATGATTGTCTATTTTGATCGACGCCATTTGATCCCAATATAGTTTTTTAATAAGCGCTACAGTGTTATGGTTTCTATGAGTTCTGTGTGTTTTACTCGATCAAGCGCTTTTTCGTAGTCAATAAAACAGAGAAACACGTCCTTTCGCTAATCTCGGCATTTTTGTAGTATTATCTGGAGGCCAAATAATGCCTCCCTTGTACCAAGCCCCATACGAAATCCAAATTGAATGTCGCTCAGGTTTCTTTCGCTTTCTCTGTATATTCGTTGATGTACAATTTTGAGTAAAATTTTCAGAAAATGGCTCATTAGGCTAATTAATCTGAACTGTGAGCATCTATTTGCTTTATTTTACTGTACAATTTTGAGTAAAATTTTCAGAAAATGGCTCATTAGGCTAATTAATCTGAACTGTGAGCATCTATTTGCTTTATTTTCTTGAGTCTAGGTATAAATGTCGATCTAAGCCAGTCTTCTAGGAAGATTCCAGTGGTATATATTTTGTTAAATAATATTGTTAAAGACTAAAGATTTTCTTCATTGATAAGCTTTATCATCTCTACGTATATTTCATCTGGACCTGAGGCTTTTCGTAACTTTGCCGTATTGATTGTTGTTGTACCTTTCGATATTAATATATCAAATATTGTTTCTTGTACTATATGCATTTGTGGTTCTGTTCTCTTGTCATCAAACAGACCTTTGATGTATTTTTCCCGCATATCTCCTACATTTTCTGGATTAGATACTATTTGGTTGTATCATCTACTAAAGTTGTAGTGATTTTTTTCTTCATATTTGTGACTTCCTTAATCTTTTTGTATGCATTAAAGTAGTCATGCTTTTTTAGTAAATCTCCCAGTTCCTCACACTTGCTGCTCATCCATTCTTCTTTGGCTTTCCTAATTTTGTTTCGGATGATTCTCTGGGTTTCTTTATATTTTTCTTTATTGCGATTTTTGTAAGATCTCCTTATGTCCATTAGTTCTAGGACTTCTTCTGTCATCCATGTATTCATTGTTTTTCTGATGTTGTTTTATAGCTGTTCTCTTTGTATAGTTGTAATTGTTGTTTTGAAAGTGTACCAAATACTTTCTATTGTTTCTTCTGCTCCCGTGGGTGCTACACTGAACTTTTCTTTGAGTGTATCATTGAGTGTTTTCTCTATTTCTGCCTGTACTATTGGATCTTTAAGTTTTTCGAGGCTAGGTTTTATCTTCTCTTTGTATTTGATTTTCTTTAGTTTATTTAAAATTTTACCAACAACAGGATTGTAGTCGGAACCGATGTCCGCCCCGGGATATGTTTTAATTTCCCTGATTCCATTTCTATAACGTTTTCAATTAATATATAATCAATCTGGTTTCTTATTATGCGGTTTTGATTATAGCCAGGTGCTTTCCATGTATATAATCTTCTTTTGGGTTGTTTAAATCAGGTGTTTGCGATCATTAGATTTTCTTCTTGGCAAAATTGAACCAGTATTTCTCCTCTATCATTTCGTTGGCCCAAACCAAAGTTTCCTACTACATCTTCGGTCCGCCCTTCACCTACTTTGGCATTAAAATCTCCCATAATAATGTTTATAGAATTTTTCTTTGTGATCTTCATTAGCTGTTTTGTCTCTTGGTAGAATTCTCGTACTTCTCTTTCTGGTTTTCTGCTGTAGGTGCATATACTTGAATATTAGGCTAACATTACATAATGAAATATTGATGGACCAAGGAGAAGGATCATTGACGAAGTTTATAGTCCAAAAACTCGGAAAGTCAAAATCAAGTTCACGCAAATATAAAACAGTCATCAGACCAAAAGCGGCCAAAAAAGAACTGACACAGGGAGGACAAAAAGGATGTTAGAAACAGCAGAGATGAAAGCATCGAATGACAACAAATAGAGTAGTAAAGACGGCAAGAAATGGTTCCCCAATAGGAAGACCACGAAAACACTGGAACGACAATTTACTGAAGGCACATTGAAAAACAGACAGAATCACGTCTATATAAAAAGAATAAGCAAATTTGGTTTGGCATTAAATTCATAACTGTAAAATTTGATTCCAGTATAAATTTAAAATTACTGCTAAATTTGTATAAGTGTTGCTAAAGATATTTTCAAGAACTGTACATATTAGTTAGGTACTGTATTATATTTGTTTCTATTTACAGAGAATAGAAAAACTAATTAACGCCTTCCATAAAAATAAAAGGTCAGAAAATGGCCAACGATAGTTAAAGTTATAAAACACTTTGTCCGAGGACATTATTTGTGCGGCCATTACGTCTAATAATTCAATCTAGTAAGTTATGCCACTAAAGTGAACAAGACACGCTTAACGCCTACTGAGATGTACATTTAGTTTTTTAATTCTTCATTGAAGACATCTGCGAAAGTTATGTCACTTCTTTGTTATTTCTCTTATTTCCTAGAGCAACGGAAACAAAGGATTTTTAAGAAACAAATAGCGAATAATTGGACAGCGCCGTTTTCGTGCAATTAATTTTAGAAATTAAAGTCTGGCGGTTTGTATTGGCCTTGAAATTCATATACGGGACAGACTAATAAGCTTATTGCACCACTACTTAATTTATTGTTAAATTTACAATAAAAATT